GACAACTGGTAGACCTTCTCCATGATCTTGCCGCATCTCCTGATCTCATCTGCAGAGGCTGAGCAAGAGCAGGGTTTATGGGGATCTGAGTCTGCCTGGCTACCTTCCCTGTCTCTAAAGGGGACGCTCTGGTGGCCTGGTCTGTAGGGAGCCTCACTGATGGTTCAAATCCACCAGTGGGTTTGAGGGGGGAAAACGGGCAGTCTCTTCATAAGATTCACCACCTTGGAAAGCTGCTGAGGGTCAGCTATGAATTGACTCTTGCTCGACAGCTACAAGACGAGGATTTGCTTGGCTTGCTTCCCTGCCTCTGAAGAACCCGGATTAGAGTTTACTGGGGTAGGCACTGGGGGTGGAGCCGCAGAGGTCCACACCTCCTGCCCCAAGGCCTGGGCTGGGTTTCTGGTCGAGGGTCTCATGCACAGCCGCTGTCCTCAGGCTGCTGCTTGCGTGCTGCTATGACACCATCTCCAGACTAAGGCATGGGGAGCCCAGGTCGGCCAGTGACCGTCGTCGGGCCACAGTGCTGCCCTCCTACCTGATCATGGGGACGGGCAGGACTGGGCAGTGCTTCATTCCGCTGGTGGAGTCCCCAGGAATTTCTGATTTGATAGCAGCTAACGGCAGCAAAGACTGTCCCTCTGAGGACTAAGGTGCACCCAACAATGGCATGCTGGGGTTTGTGTTCTGTCAAGCAGGAACCAAGTGTAGCTGACCCTCCAGCAAGTTTTCAGAGGAAGGAGAATCCCATGGGAGCAGATGGCCCATCCTTCTCCTCTGAGCAACTGGTGGATTCGAACTGTGTGCCTTTGGGTTGGCAGCGTAACTCCTCTGATCATGTGGAAGCTGCACGATGATTAAGGAAGGCTGAGGAAGAATTGGTACCTTGCGCCTGTGGTGCTGGTGAAGAATACGGCATATACTAAGGTCCACAGAAGAAAGAACAAATTTATTTTGGAGGAAATGCAGCCAAATGCTCTTTGAGGGGAAGGATGGTAAGACTTTGTCTCGACTCTTTCGGGCCTGTTATCAGGAAGGGTCCAACCCTCAGGAAAGACATGCTGCTTGGCGGATTCGAGACACTGAGGAAGCGGAGGACCCTTGGTGAGATGGGCTGGCACGGTGGGTGCCGTGACTGTGAAGACGGCAGGCCTGGGCCTTGTCGGTCATACTGTGGGGCTCCTGGCGTGACGGCCCCTTACAACAAAGAACAGGGCCTCTGGCAGCATCGTCCGCAGCGAGGCGTTCTTCTAAGCCAGAGGCCTCGTGTCTCTGGCAGTTCAAATCCATCAGCAGCTCCTCAGGAGAGAGACATCAGTCCCCCCCACCCCCCCGAACGCCGTCCAGCATGGTCAGCCTGAGGCAGGGTCACTAGGACTCGAAAGAGACTCAAAGCCAGTGAGCTGAGTGGACAATGAAACAACAGTGCTTATCAGTAACTGCACTGCCAGGCAGTGGGCACCCGGTGGGCAGTGGGTTAGGATGCAATTTGATCCTGGGTTAATAGGGATCCCACGGCCGTGTAGGAGTGGCGATAATTCCTGGCTGGCCAGCAGTCCCTGTGTCACTGGAGAGACACCTGTGTGGCCCTCTTTGCTACCTTGCTTGGCCGTTTGTTCTCAGTCTGCTGGTGGCAGGTGCCCACCACATTGATGGCAGGTGAAGTTGGAGGAGTCAGTCTTGGAAGGTCCCTGTGGAACCTCTCTGGGGAGGGCATGGATCGAACCCTGTCTCTCCAGACAACGTGCACGTAGCACATGTGATGCGGACATCAGGACGTGATCCCCGTGATCTAAGCCAATCGGCTGTAAGAGGGTGAAGGGTGGGCTTTGGCAAGCCCAGTCCCATCAGCACAAGGACGCACAGCTGATGAGGGTCCAGGATTTGGGGCCGCAGAAGGGGTGACATGCTGCTGACCTGGGGCCCAGGGTGAAATCGCCCACTGGTCACTCCAGACTCGAGACCCTGGACCACCTGGCTCCGCAGCAGCTTGACGGACGCCCCCAACCCCCACCAGGCTGACCCACCTCCTGCCAGAGCAGCGCTCACAGCAAAGTGGAGTGAGGCTATTGTTGATTTCTGGGTGTCATCAAGTCGGTCCCCATGGAGGACCCATCCCCATGAAATGGGGCAGAAGTTCCCTATGGGACTGTCTCAGCTGTCATCTCAAAGGAAGCACATGCCAGGCCTGCTTTTCTGGGGTTACTGGCTGGGTTCCAACTCCCAACCTTTCAGTTCACAGCTGAGCAAGTAACCATTACACCGCTGGGGGTCCTGGGAACAAAGAAAACCGGTGTGTGCATCAGGGACCCCTCACGCCATGGGCAGCTCTGGGGCAGCCCTCTCTTCTTCCCAGGCCACATCTCTGCTGCCCATGTCACTGGGCCTTAATGGAGAATCAGACGCTGAGCCCCGGACTCTCCGCTGTCCTGGGTCACAGAACTGTCTGCTATGCCATTTCCTGGTCGTCATCTTCACGGAACAGATCACCGATATCTCTTCCTCACGTCCTCTGTGTGTCTCTGAACCGCCAACCTTGAAGATAAACGTTAGAGTTAATGGAACAAAAACACCGATGCCAAGAAAGGCAGGCAGGCTGGCTTCCAAAAAGTGCATGGAAAGCTGGGAGCAGCTTAGGATGGTGGTTCCTGGTCCAGGCTGTGCTTCTGTGGTCTTATCTACTTCCCTTCCCATGTAGCCCCCCAGGGAGGGTATTCCAAACCGATAGAGTGAGAGGAAGTGTAACAAAAACATGAAAAATAAGAAACATAGATTTGTCAGTTTTGAAGGTCTGGGTATTTACCAGAAATTCCACCCGTGATCATTTCTGTTGCCATTTCATTTGAGGACATATTAGAGCTTAAATTTTAAAGCACTTGATCTGTAGAGGATTTCAGTCTACATCAGGGGCCCAAATACCATTCTGAATCTTGACTTAGGTTCAAAAGTCATTTGAATTCCTTCTGATCTTTAAATCAGCCTGTGTGGTTATGGCTGGAGAAAGTGAGGCAAGCTTGGGGAAGGGAATCTGCATTCAGGGAGAGCAAGGCTGATTTTTTCTTCTTTTTTTAGGTGTTGCTATGAGATGTGGCAAGAAGCTGCGCTGCAATCCCAAAGGCACGCAGTTTGAAGCCACCAACTGCTCCGTGGAAGAAGGATGGGCAATCTCCTCCTGTGCAATTAACTGCCTTTGAAAACTCACCAGAGGGTCAGCTCTGGGTTGGTTCCGACTCGATGGTACACAACAATGACGAGATGTCTTTAGGTTGTGGTGCTGGAGAAGAGTACAGCATATCCTATGAACTGCTAAAAGAACAAACAGTTATGTCTCGGAGAAAGTCCAGCCAGAGTACTCTTTGGAGGCAGAGATGGCAAACCTTCATTTCACATACTTTGGGCCTGTTGCTAGAAGAGGCCTTTGGAGAGGGACATCATTCTTGGAAAGGTGAGGGACAGCAGAGAGGAAGACCCTCGGCCAGGTGGGTTGACACCACGACAACAGCAATGAGCTTGAGTGTGTCCGAAATGATGACGACGGTCCAGACCAGGACAGGTTCGTTGTTCATGCAAACATATATATTTATGTGAAATCCATTTACACATTTATAAATAAATACAAATAGGAGGAGAAGTAGCAAAGAAGGCGAGGAGGCCCCTCTGGGAAGAGCTAACGTGTGTTTATTTCACAAGGTGGGCGACAGGGAGGGGAGGGACCACCGACAAGATGGCACCGAATGAGACACTGAACCACACACCAGGCAGCTCAAGGGCTGGGATCTGCCAGGGACAGGAGGAAGGGGGAGATGGTGCCCATGGAAGGGACAGCCTTGCTGTCTGGGTGCCAGTGGGACAGGCCGGTCCACGTCCTCCTGACCTTCTGCGTGGCCAGTGAGCTTCTAGTGCTGCGTCCCCAACGGTAAGAAGCGGCAAACCTAGAGTGACAGGCGACGTCCACAGTGTGGCACTGTCAGGACACGCGTGGACATGAGCACACACGGAGCACGTCCATACCTGCACCCCCACGTGCATGCACACCCTCAGATGTGAACTCTGCTGGACACATGACGTCCACTGTGCTGCACGCTAAGGACACACGTGGACACCTACAACCCCACGTGCATGCACACCCTGACATGTTAATTCTGCTGGACAAGCACATCCTACCCACAGGGCAATTAAAAAAACAACAGCTGAGGGAGGAGACGCTGCCTCCCCGTGCTGGTCCCAGAGCCTGGGTGGGGAAGGGACGCAGAACTGCAGCTGGCCCCTGGTCCCCAGCCCCACCTGGTGGTGGGGCCTCTCACTGTTCCCTGTGGTCACTCTGTGTCCAGGCTTTCAGGCCCTCATGGGGATAGAGATGACAGAGCCACTCCTTGCAGCCGGGACCCTCCTGTTTGCTCAGCCCGTCCGTGTCTGTCCCTCAGCTGTGCCCCTGCACAGAGGAGCCAGGTGAACAGTGACCAGTGTCAGTTCCTCTGAGGTCATCTCAGGAGGGGCTGGAAAAATGCGAGGTTGTCGCCACTAAAGCCACCCCATGGGAAGGTCTGGGGGGGCTGGTCTTGGGATTGCAGAGGGGCATCTGGGCAGAAGCAGTTGTGGGTGGTTATGAGCCCGAGGGGCAGGAGGAGGCTGGGGTGTGGCAGAAGTCTTCCTTCTCCTCGTGGACGAGGCCTGGGATGGAAGGCAGAAGCTGCGGCTGCAGTGATGGAAGCGTGGAGGGGACCTGCTGGCTGTCACTCTTGGCCCTGGGCTGCAAGGATGAATGGGACATGTGGGCAGTCAGGCTCTTGTGCACCAGGTCACATCTGGGGCTGTGGCAGACACGTGTCCAGTTTCCCAGAGCAGGGCAGGTGCCTGTTCCGCGTGCGCAGGGCCGGCAGGGGCTAAGGGCCTGGTGGACAGACCATCTCCATGGAGCCCCGGCGGCTCTTGTAGAAGCCCTGGATGCTGGGTGAGCACGTCTTCCCCCTGCTGTCTCTGCTGAGTGGCTGGTCCCGGGTGGTCCAGGTGCCCCTGCTCCCTCTGCTACTTGATAGAGTTCTTAATTGTCCACCTCTGGCCTGTGCAGCTGCGGAGGATGAGGTCAATTCCGGCCAGGCCACGGTTCTCCACCTCCAGGCAGCGTCCCGTCCCCTTGTTCATGATGGCTCCATTCTGGGAAGAGAAGGCCCAGAGACAGACAGACTTAACTACCTTCCGTCCTGGGAGGACTTCCCACGGGGGACATCCACTGAGACGCTACGCACGAAGGAGGGATTTTGGAGAGCTGGTCGACTAGATTAGGCCATGACTTTTACCATCATTATTAGATTTGATTAGAGTTGATTGTGACTAACCGCGGCCCATATGGAGCAGATCTAAACCCTGTTCGACCCTGCTCCGCTTCTCACAGGCTCTGTGGGGCGTAAGCCCATCGCTGGAGTCACTGTGTCAATCCATCTCACTGGGCATCTCCCTCTCCTTCTCGGACCCTCTGCTTCCTCAAGTAAGATTCCCCTTCCCAGGGACTAGCCCCTTCCGACCACAGGCTGATCTTATCCAAGACGATGCTTCTCCATCCTTGCTTCAAGGGAGCAATCCGGCTGTGCGCCCTCTAGGATATGTTTGTACTTTTGGCAATCCAGGGTACACTCAATATTCTTCACCAAAACTAAAATTCAAAGGCATCACTTCCCCTTTGGGTCTTTCTGGTTCACGGCCCAACTTTCACATGCCTGTGAGGCAACTGGAAATACCACATGGCTCAGTCTTTAAAGTTCTTCAGCAATTGAAAGAATCCCCAGCAGCAGATTTACTCATTGCAGTTAACACGGTTTGTCTTCCTGACTGCAGCTCTCATGAATGTTGATTGTGGAGCCAAGCAAAATGAAAAATCCTTAGTACTGTGTAATTATTCTCCTTTGTGATCTGCTATAACTACTTTATGGGACAGAAATTCTAACCTCTGTGCTAACAAGATAGGGTTAGCGGCAGGCATGTTAAGCAGGAAACAAAATACAGGACTAAATGACATCTTAGGTCAAACTCTTTTGAGATATAAGTTATGCAATCAAGCAGAGACCAAGTAACTTCCTATTGCTATGAAAATCTGAGAACAGTGAGTGTGCTTTGGACCCAGGGCCCCTGGGCTGTGAACCTTCTAGACCCAGGAGAGACTGGTGCCAAGACACAGGGAGAAGTCCACACCCACAGATGCTGACAGGGAAAAAGGACTGAACCCAACAGCTGGTACAAACAGAGGCCTTCCTTTAGAACTGGGGCTGTGAATTTGGACTTCCAGCCTCCTAAACTGTTGAGAGAATACATTTCTGTTTGTTAAAGCCATCCACTTGTAGCATTTCTATTACAGTAGCATCAGAGAACTAAGATAGCATCCTTTCCTCAGAAAATGAAGATGCTTCATCAAGTTTGAGCGGCTAAACCAGGCAAGGCATATTGAGTTGGGGCTGTCAGAATAGGATATTTCAGATCTGACATGCTCTGTGTGTATCTAACAGGTACCAGGGAATCCGAAGTCTCCCTGGACTAACAGGCAAGATTGGGATAAATGGGAAAGACTGAAGTGTCAGGGATTTCACTGTACTTGGACTCACAATCAGAGCCACGGAAGCAGCAGTTAAGAAACCAATGATGAACCACATGAGGCAAATCTGTGTCGTAGAGGAACCTCTTCCACGTGCCAAGGAGCAAACGTCTCTGTGAGGACAAAGCTGGGCCGGACCCAAGCCACGGTATTTTCAGTCCCCTCACTGAGAAATGAAAGCTGGACAGGGAATAAAGAGGACTGAAAAAGAACTGATGCATTTGTATCGTGATGCTGTTGAAGAATACTGCATATTTTGCAGATTGCCAAAGAATTCACAGGTGTTTTTGGGAAGAAGGGCAGCTCGATGTTCCTGAGAAGATGGTCAGACTGTCTTACACGCTTTGTCATCAGACTCTGGAGAAGGATGCCGTGTTTGGACAATCAGAGAGTCATTGGAAAAGAGGGAGACCCTGAAGGAAATGGACTGACACAGCGGCCGTGAGCAGAGGCCGTAAGAGTGGCACGGGTGGTAACGACACCATGAAGGAAAGGCACCTTCCTTGCCCTCTCTTAGAATCTTAGCAGATTCTAACCCATCTCCTCCTGTGCAATTTACTGCCTCTGAACACCTGCTGGGGGGTCAGCTGTGAGTCGGTTCCAACTCGATGATACAGTTACCATTATCAGTTATCATATACAGTTATCATATCATATACAGTCATTAGTTAGCAGTCTCTGGAATCATGCTTGGTGAGCAGAGGAAGGGCTTCTGTGAGACAGACTGACCCAGCCAGCCCTGCAATGGGTTTGCGCACAGCAGAGACTGTGGGGGGCACAGGAGCGGGCAGGGTCACTTCTGCACCATGTGGGGTGGCCACGGCTGGCACTGATGCTGAACCTAACAACAACCACCGCCGCCGCCACTGAGTCCTGTCAGGAAACCACGTGCGAGGGCAGACCTGTGCTCACAGCGATGGCCTTCCCGGAGAGCAACAAGCTGTTCTGCTGAATTGTCTCCGGGTGGGTTTGAACTGACAACATTTCAGTTAACAACCAAATGCTTAACCCCGTGTGTCACTCAGAGTCCCAGTCAACTCAATGGAAACTGGCTTTAACCAGCTCTGGAGTCCTGGTGATGCCATATCTTATGTAACTAACCAAAAAGTCGGTGGTTCAAATACACCAGTTGTTCTGGAGAAAGATGGGCCGTCTCCTCCCATTAAGATTTACAGCCTCAAACCCAAGGGGAGGTCCCCGCGGCTGGAACCGACTCCAGGGTAGCGGGTCTGGTTTTTGTGACAGTGCAGTCAGCTTGGCTGTGACCAGACAGGCTGGAATTGTACCTCCACCTCGAGGTACTGTGAGCACATCAGAGACCACAAGGACGGTGCAGGATAGGGCAAGGGGTAGACCTATTCCCTATTAGTTATAACAGACTCGATGGCATCTCACAACAACAGGGGTGTCTCTGCAGAAAGACCTCGAGGTCTCCTTCCCAAACACCAGCACTGAAACTCTGCGGAGTGACACCTGCTCGCCATGGCCAGTGTCAACCAGATGGCAACTGCTCACTCTTCTTAAATGCAGCCTTTGCACTGAGTGTAGGCATGGAGAAGAAGGCTGTCTCCACAGACATCATCCAGGGACTCCCCACAAAGAGCTGGGGGTCCATGAGTCGTTGGGGTGCTTTGAGATGGGGCTCTAGGCTGTGACCTAGTGGCCTCTGGAGAAGCTGCAGCTCCCCTGTTGCTCGCAGCATCCTCACCTGTCCTGGGTGGTGGCTCGGTACAGGGAGCACTCACCTGGATGAAGTTCCAGCGTTTGTACAGGCTGCTCTTGACCTTGTCGCAGTCGAGGAGCTGGGGCAGCCGGCTCTTGGCGTTGTCCACCAGGCAGCGGGTGTCAGGGAGGAGTGTGGTGGTCCCCAGCGCGCCCAGGTGCAGGAAGCCCTCCTTGGTGTAGCGAGCCAGCTAGGGGAGAGCAGGGAACATGAGCCTCTCACCAGGCTTCCAGTCCACACCGTCTACTCCCATCCCTCAGACCCGTGCCACCCCCCAGGGGAGCCTCCTACAGGAAGCCCTCCTGGCCTTCTGGAATGCCTCCTAAATATGTTCACAGTCAGGTTTTCAAGGTTGTAACTGCCCTACCTGCCAACAGAAAGAACAGAACCAGGGAAGGAGTCAAGGATCTGGTTCCTGTGATGCCAGGATCCTGGGCTACCTTGAACACATCACTTACTGTGAGCTTCCATTTCCTTCTCCTCTGTAAAGTGGAATTAATTAACCTGATTCTGAAGGCCAGAGACCCCCAGTTCATCTGGCAAGTCCCCTCTGCTGAGACCCACTTGGGACAAAAAGAAAGCCGTAAGAATCCTGAGCGTTCAATAGGCGTCCCTCCTCACGATGTGAGAGGCCATCCTAAGAGCCGGCTTGATTCTGAAGATCATGCCTGGCAAAGTGGAGGCTGCATGGAAAAGAGGAAAACGCTCAACCTGACACAGTGGCTTCAGCAACGGGATCCGACGCGGATTAGGCTGTTGAGGATACACGGAGTCGCTAAGAGTCGGAGCTGGCTGGACGGCACCTAACAGCAACCACCACTGGCACAAAGGGCCCCTGGGTGGTGCAAACAGTGAATGCTTGGCTAAGTGAAGTCCATCAGAGGTGCCGTGGAAGGAAGGGCTGGCAATCTGTGTTGCAAAAAACCCAGCCACCAAAAACCCTATGGGAGCCCCATTCTACCCCGACTCTCATGGGGTCACTGAGTCAGGGTAACCTCTCAGGTAATGGTTTTTTCCTTGTGTCTCCTCTCCCCACCCGGCCCCCAACACTGCCACAAAAGCTTAATGTCAGACTTCACTGAAGAACAAACATATCTTACAAGGTATTCAAGCATACGGGGGGCAACAAGAAATAAAACAAAAACAAGGAGACACCACACTTTAAAAAGAGCGATTATTCTCACTGTGGGTCTCTGAGACCTGGTAATGGCAGGTAGGTTCATTATCAGAGTCTTTTCAGAAGGTGGTGGTGTTGTGTATCCTCAAGTCAGAATCAACTCAGGGCGGACCCCGCAGTGGGTTTTCGGAGGCTGCGAATTGTGTGGAAGGAGACTACTCATCTTTCTCTCAAGGAGCACTTGCTGGATTCGAACCTCATACATTTGAATTTGGAGCACAACTTCTTCGCACTAAGCTACCAGAGCTCGTCTCTTTAGGAAGGAATCTCAGATCACATACTTGGTGCTTGCCACATGTTCTCTGACTCAGTAACCCCACTGCTGGAAACCTCCCCTGTCCAAGAGGAGAACTGAAATGCAAACAAAATTCACACACAGCCAGAGCTTGGTGATTCGGGTTCAGTTCAAACCACTTCAGTAAATCCAGTATTACAATCAAGTGAGTTGGAAGAATTCTTTGACTTCCTAGAGCATATGAAACATGTTTACACTTCTCTGCAGTCTAACAAGTGTGCAGCGGAGCTCGGGGAAAGTTTGAAATGTGGTGAGAATGAACCAAATGGGACGCAGAGACATGAAGCAAGCACCTGCTGTTGGAAAAAAGCCACTGGTAGACCTGCCCGGTGCCGAGCTGAGAGAGACCTTCGACCTGGGACTGGGAAGTGCAGGAAAGTGCCACCTCCCCGTACAGGGGATTCATGGGAGCCTGGGACAGGACGGAGAAGCACACACATCCTAAACGCACATCACTGTTCTGTGCTTGGTGTGCACACACTGCAACCCACAGATGCTAGGAGGTGGGGAGCCGCCCTCTGCCCTGTGGGCACTTCTTAAGAGGACTTCACAGCCACTTCCATCAAGTAACAGAGGCTCTTTCTGTATCTGTGAGTCTTGGTCTTGAGACTTGCTTTGGTCAACAGGATGCAGCACAGAGGAGGGTGCACTTGTTCTCAGCAGAGGACTGAAAACACCTTGCATGTCTCCTCCCGGTCCCCTTGGAACCCCGTTGCCACCATGGAGGCAGCCTCAGCTAGTCAACTTAGAGAGAAGTTACGCTTGCCCTGGACAGTGGGTGAGGCCATGCTCGCTCAGCTAGCCCTTAGCTGCCCTGCGAGCTTAATTGTGCATTTAAGAGACGTATAAGTGAATGACTAAGGTCAGCTGAGCCTGACCCAGATCCATCCAGCCGGCCTGGAGATTCATGAACAATAATAAACGTCGACTGTTTAAGTCATTCACGTTTGGAGCGGCTATTCTCCAGCATCTGCTGATACAGAGATGGCCCCACCCGCCCAGCCTGCCGACAGTGTGGTTCCCAAGTTAGTACATGTCCTTCCTTCCTCTGGCTGTTCCCGTTTTCCAGGAATCAGGCTCAGAAGGCAGGAAGGAGCAGGATAGGAGGAGTAATGGAAATGAGAATCCCAGGCAGAGGGTAGGGAAAATAGAACTAAAATCTGAGGACTGTAGTTAATGTCATAAAAAAATATGAATGATGATATGAAAAGCCAATTTTCTCTGTAAACTTTACCTCAAATGACAATGTTGCTGTGAGATACTGTTGAGTCAAATAGGACTCATAGCAATCCTGTGCTCAACAGATCTGAACCCTTCTCTATTCTGGGCCACCCTCACCACCTCTGATACACTGTAGCCCAACGCTGCAGTCACTATGTCAATCCACCTGGTTGAGGGTCTTCCACTCCTTCGCGCCCCTCCACCTTTCCAAGCATGATGTCCCTCTCCTACCAACATCCTCAAAGTAGGATGCAAGACAAAGCTTTTCCAAGGTGAGCTCCGGGTTCACCTTGTCCAAGACATATCTGTTTTCTTGGCAGTCCAGAGGATATTCAGTACTGTCTTCCAACACAACTCACAGGCATCACTTTCTAGCCTCAATTAGCAGCAAAGTGCATGAAACCATTTACCCTACCCAGGGACTCCTTGTGAGCTGCTGTCAAGTTCATTTTCAACTCATAGCAACACAGAGCGGCAGCAGAAGAGCCAGTGGGGTTTTCCAGGCTGTGAACTTTAGGAACAGGTCCCCGGGGTTCCATTTCTGTGGAGCTGCTGGTGGGTTCAAACTGCCAACCTCTCAGATAACGGCCATGTTCTTTAACCCTTGCACTACTGGGGTTCTGAGTCCAAAATCCACTCTTGTCAACTTGACTCCAATTCACAGTGAAGTGACCTTTACAGCGCAGGACAGGCCTGCCCCATAGCACAGGACTGTGACTTACAGAAGCCGACGGCCTCCTCGCATCGCTCAGCCTATGGGTGCAAACTGCCTCACCGGACGGACAGACTGATGCGGAGGCTGTAATATTGGCTTGAGCCTATCAGAGAGCCGATGGCGCAGGACAGGGCAGGTTCAAAGGTTGTCTGGAGTTGCATCAACTCAATGGCACGTAGCAACAACAGTCACCTTTTGTTCAACAGTGGATACTTTACAGTACTTTTCCCAAGGGTTCCGGAAGACACTCCTTCATCCACCACAAACAAACAACTGCATGCCCCACCGTACCCTCAGCACGTGACCCACAGGCACCCACCACTTCTGCTAAACTCATTCCAGAGTTTTGTGAAGAGTTGACTGTGTGTCCTGCTGCGCGCAGGCTTCCAGGGTGCGCACATGGGGCACGTGAGGGTGAGCAGAGGCAGCACATGGACAGTATCCTTGCCCCACTGCCTTGCAACGGCCGCATGGGGGTGGCCGAGGTAGCAGAGATGACCATTCCTACAGCTGAAGGCTAATCCATTTTTAAAAATAAAAATATCAGCTAGCACACACTAGGGGAGCTCTGGTGGCCTCGTGGTAAGAAGCTGTGCTGCAATCCCAAAGACACAGGTTCAAATTCAGCTGCTCTGTAGGAAAAGGATGGGCAATCTCCTCCCGTGCAGGGCAGGCTCCTCCCCAGGGATCCTCACTCCTGGAGGAAGCCTCTCAGAAACTTTCCCTGTGCCCTTGTGACACAGCAGTGGGGAGTTTATTAAGTGCCCCTGAGAGAGAGACAGAGAGCGTGTGCGTTCAACCCAAATTAGTTCCAAATCAGGGTAATTGTCAGTGGCAGAATGGTAAGAAAATCAGCAGCCCTCCTTCCCGGCCCCACGATGTCTCCCTGCATATATTTAAATTCACCGAACGCCAAGTGATGAATGACAGCAAGCTGCCTTTATGTTCTAGGGAAAGATATACACAGCTGCTTATTGGAATTATGAATCAATCTATTATCCTGCAGGCAAATGAGCAGCGCCGAGAACATTAATTAACCGAGCGGATCTGTGACCCAGATGTTTTGAGAGCAGAGCGAGGCACCAGGGGAGTTGGAGGCTCTTCCTGCAGAGGCCTGTCAGGGCGAGAGGAAGGGGACACCGATCTGGACCTGCCAGAGTTAAGAGTCGCCCAGGCAGGCAGGTGTCTAGGTGGACAGGAGGGGTTGGGTGGTCCTGGGCCACTACAGAGACTCTACCTGCTTTGGTGGGAACCTCAAGGGGCCAACAGCCAATATTGGGGAGCCGGGAGCAGAGAACTTGGGGCACTAAGGACAGCTCAGGACTGTAACAGTTCTCCCCAAAGGAGAAGGCTGGGAAGCCCTGGAATCTGCCATCAACAGCCTGCTCCCACATCTCAAAAAAAGCTGCTTTTGAGTTGACTCCAAGCCTATGGACGCAGAAGAGAGCTGGGCTCCCCACAGTTTCAAGACTGTGAACCTTTGGAAGTAGACTGCCAAGCCTTTCTTCCTAGTCACTTCTAAATGGATTGAACTGACAATCTTTTGGTTACAAGTGAAGCCTAGTAACTGACTAAGTGTGCCTCCCAGGGACTTGACACCAACCTTTTCCCCTTTTTGCCCCTTTGAAGCACACAAGCTTTTCATTTTAGTGATATCCAACCTATTTCTTTGCTGTGGTTGCCTGTGACTTTGGTATCATATCCAAGAAATAGTTTCTCGGTCCAAGGTCACAAAGGCCTAGTTTAGCTCTTACATACAGATCTTTGCTCAAGGTTAAGTTC